GAGGAACCTGTTAGTCTCATGCAGAGAGGGACTTTGATCCCTGTTTGTGAGCCTGTTTGGAGAGGTCCAAGCGAGTGCTTGGCTCCATATGTGGGACAAACGAAGTGACCGGTCATTCGTGCAGAAGAGACACTTGCTTTCCTTGAGCCTCCCGATTAAGGAGCAGATTTTGCCAACAGCGAGACTTTCTCTCAGTTAGACCACGGGTTCATCCTTCCGGTGTGTTCTGAACACTGGGTCATCCTTGCATCGGAGACGCCAACTGAGAACTGGGAACCATCATGTATGAAGCAGTCCGATTTCCAACTGTGCGAGAGCTTTTCTTGAGGAAGCTTCCTATGGCACAATGTGTCTGGGTCACTGAATGCACCAGTGTTGTTGATGACAGAATGTATGAGTGGGAAATGCTGGTGCCTGTTCCCTAGGATTTCTTTGACCTTTTTGAACGGGACTTGCAGCCTCTACTGATACTGCCATTGGTATTCTTTCATGCCAATGATCCAAATGCAACAAGTGTTGGGACAAATGTCACATCAGTTTCAGCCATCACGAGTTCCTCTGACACCGTGCGAAATTCATCAGAAGTTTCCCATTCCCTAGAAGAAGGCGATTTTGGTCCGGTCATGAGGCCTCGGCCAGTTCAATGACTATTACACAGGACAGAGATAACACTGCAACTCCGCGACGTGGTGATGAAGATTCTGCTTGTTTGATGCAGGTTGATCTTCCCTTGAGCAGTCGAGGTTTGGAACCACATCATGGACTGCTACTACTGAGCATACCGATTGCTGAGCATGCTGAGTGCTTCCAGCAGTTGTTGAGGATCGACATGGTAAGCAGCAAGGGCCGGTATGGTCCATCTACACGTGACTGTTACGACAGCCGACGGATCTGTTTGCCCTGCCTCGCATCTGTGTGATGCAATTGGACAAATCATTTTGCATGGCCTTCATTGAAGCTTGGCATGATGTATTTGCCAATGATGTGTTTGGGATTGCGATTGTCCATCCGCAGCTTCCTCCTGCTACCTTGCGCAGAAGACCCGTCGATATCGTTGGGTTGCCGCAAGCTGCGATCAGACAAGGCAACCGAGTCTTTCTGATTGATGTGTTGCTGGGGCCCCTCCCAAGAAGGGTTGCTTTACTATGTTCTGAAGGAACTACAATGAGTGACATAGTTGAGAGACTCTGGTTGACTGAATTTTGCAACAGACCTGAGCTGATATGCTCCTTGCAACAAGAGCTTCAAGAGGAAATTAGGTCCTGGTAACTTCATGACATTGTGTTTGAGGCACATGGATCAAGTTTCCAGCTTATTGCGGATATGAGAAGATGTGATTCCAGTGATCCTACTCCTGCAACAAACATGTCGTTTCCCGAAGGAAGTCTGCATGAGGAGAACACTGCAACCTCATTCAGACAAGCAACAGAATGTTTGCCCTTATTGGACCATGATGGGAATGGCACGCTGCAGCTGGACAGTTGCGAGAGTCCTGACAAGACACTTGGATCAATGTACATGTATGATGATGCTACCACATTGTTTCAAGTTGAATTGCATGCCAAACAGTTGAGCCTTGGTGCCCCTCGGGTTGCTCCTGATGAGCCACACCTGCAGCTTGCTCACCCCAATCTGGCTTGGCAAGAACAGGCCCGACGTGCATTTCGTTCTACAAGCATGTTTGGATATGATTATCTTGTGGCAGAGGCTTTGGCTTTCCGTCAACACGTGGCCACTGGCCACAATTTATCATCCACGGTGTGGATATGCCGAATGTCAGGTTCTGGGAATTAGTTGATATCTTTTTGAGTTTCGCTCCGTGATTGGCGTTCTCCGTATCTACTTGGCGTCAGAGGTGCCAGTTGACCGTATGATGAAGTTTGCAGTGGTTAACCACGGGAGCAAGACGGAGAAGATCATATCATATCAAATCTATATCTTGTTTGCCGACCAAGATGTAGATGGTTTCAAGCCTGTTTATGTTACAGCGTGGATGCCAAATGAGCCTGAACCACATCTCTCAGATGGTTTCCATCTACCTGAGTTGGTGGGCACAGATTTTGTGCTCCAAACCACGCAACTCTAAGAGGTGTGTGAAAGTGAATACAATTTCTGTGTGGTGAGCCATCAACATCGGGAGCTTCTTGGATTTGTTGGCTGGAGAACATTTGATGGGATGAAGATCGATATTGAGGTTTACCACCGCCAAAGCCTCCCTCCATGTTGATGAGTTGTGCTTGATGCAAATAATTTCTACAAAAGGCTTGCCTTTGGGTGTCCTGGGACCACGGCAGACCTGGCATTGGCCTGTTCCTTGTCCACCAGCTAATTCCTTTCTTCCGCACAAGCAAAACGTCTTCGCCGCCAGATTCGCAGTATACTTGCATGGGAACATGAATCTGTGTTGCATGCTGTTTTCTGGCGAGCAAACGATGGCTCTAATCATCACAGAGATTTGAATGGAAGTCTGGCAGGATTTTGCAAGTGAGTTGCAGCTTCAAGTCCCGTTTGTGAGCATTGT